TCTGTATGGAACCAAATTCCAAATAGTTACAGATCACAAGCCATTGATCTGGCTATTTAGTATAACAGACCTGGCTCATGATTAATCAAATGGCTCAAATTAGAAAAGTACGACTATGAAGTGGTACACAAGGCCGGCAAAGGCAATACAAATGACGCGTTCAGCAGAAACCCAATCGCGCCCGATACACAGATAAACAGTATCACGACAAGGAAGAGCGCGAGTATAACAAAGAAGAAAAGGAGCAAATAATGTATGAATATCATAATGCCCCCCTCGGAGGACACCAAGGCGTAACACAATAAACCAAATACGATTAACGCACAACTGGCACGAATTAAGAGATATGGAAGAATACATCGCCAAATGCGAATATTGCCGGAAAAACAAACTGAGCAAGAAAATCAAAATGCCTCTAGTATTGATTAATACAACGGAAAGACCGTTTCAAAAATGCACTCTAGACATCGTAGGACCACTCACGATCACCATGAAAGGAAACAAATATCTACTAACATTCCAAGACAACTTAACAAAATTTAGTAAAGCAATACCGATATCAGATCAGGAAGCAAGCACGATTGCCAAGGAATTCATCACAAAAATAATATGCGAATTCAGAATACCAGAGAAAGTACTAACAGATCAAGAAACGAACTTTGTCAGTGAAATGTTCAGGGATGTATGCACTCTCCTAAAAATAACAAAAATCCAAACAACCGCGTACCATCCTGAAAGCAACGGAGCCCTGGACAGATCGCACAGGATTCTGACCGAATATTTAAGGTACTATATAAACGAAAATCAAACTAACTGGGATGAATGGATCCCATACGCGATGTTCACGTACAATACGACACCGCATATAGCAACGGGCTATACGTTCGAATTGATGTACGGAGCTACACTACCTATGGTCCTGACAGCGCTGCCGAAACCATACTACATATATGATAACTACTACGCGCAAGAACTAAGAGAACGACTCAGAACCACACAGAAAATAGCAAAAGAACATATCCACGAAGCAAAACAAAGGGACAAAAATCTATGTAGCTAAAAATATAGAACATTAAAACCTTCAAAGTAGGAGATAAGATCTTCCTGCATGACAAAGCAGTGCGCAGAGGACGATCGAAGAAATTGGAAGCACCATGGATAGGTCATCATATCAAATAATCGAGAGAACCTCCGATGTTAATTACAAAATCAAACAGAAACGAAAAATTACGACGGTGCACGCGAATCGAACTCAAACTATTTATCGAGGATTTGGAAACAACCGCATACGAATAATTACAAAAAGCAAAAAGTAGAAGCATTAAGAATAAAAGCAGTAAAAAAAATGCAGGACTCACCAGTCACGCAAAACAAAAACGAAACGTTGTCCGATGGCAACGCAGAATTGCACCCGCAGAGGATCGCGGGGGTAGCACTCCTCGCAGACGGCCGGAGGGGGCGCAGGAGACCTCTCCTGAACACAGTTGAAGGAACACGAAGACGGTATTCCTCAGTCCAGATGACCGTGGACGGCCACCTGGACGACATCCTCAGCCAGACGTTGTACCGCCAAGCAGCCCGACCACCGCACACACTTCTCACACATCAGAGGGATATACTCATGACCACATCTAGTGCACTGCATGATTTCCAAAATTTTAATTCCTTTTTTCTCCACTTACACCGCACGACGCGCAATAGACCACGACGACAGACTGAATAAAATAATTCATTAAACGCACCACACAAACGCACGATTAGGATTCACAGAAAAGTAAACCGAGTCCTAATCTTGCAGGATGCTCCTTGTGTGGAGAGAAGCAGTACAAGCGACACCTGATTCTCGGCATGCCTTTGACTGGGAATTGTTCTCGCATCAGCCAGGAATCTACTACGAAGAAAAGCCAGCTAAGACAGGCTGAATCGGCATGGAAACTAGTGTTACAACTGGGCGCAAAAGAATTAGAGATTAGCAACTACAAGACTATATTGAGGAAACCGTATTAGAGTGCGGAAAAATAATAGGCAACGCCCAGTTTGCAGAAACATAATGAGGATAATAGAAAAAGACAATATCAAATTGATCACGCTGTTGACGCAAATAGAAACACTATACAAAAACAACTGACAAACGATGAGGACTGTTAGATGCGGTCGGGTCGGTCAGCAAAATATTGTTTGGAACAATGGACGCCGACGATCGGAAACTAATAAACGAGCAACTGCAAACCTTACGAACAAAACGGCAAGGTACTGCAGCATGCAGTAACAAACCAAATAAGAGTAACCAATGCCACAATAGCGCATTTGGACGAATTAGAAAATACGCTAAACTATAACGAAAATCTGATAATGAATGCGACAAAAACCGACTAGAGCAATAGTTGACCAAGTCCACACTATAGGCAGACGTAGACGAACATTTATTAATCCTGACAACAATAATGAATGATTTAACGAAAGACACGGAAAATGTAATAGACTATCTGACTTATGGGAAAAACGGAATGATACCGACACGAATAAAGAATAAAATATATCCAAAACTACCTTCCCGATTATAATATAACACTAGAAACAAAAAATAGAGACACCGATAAGAATAAGATAGCGAAAACCGAGACGTTACGACAAATAATTAAAAACCCCGTAGACTTAACCAAATTAAACGTAAGCCTAGAAGAAATAAAAGAAACTCTAGGAGATAGCGAAAATGACTTATTCAAAAACAAATTGTAACAAATTGTAAAAACAAATTGACGTTGTATATCCTATGGGAACAGGCACCTGCGTAGTGATAATAACTGTAATAGGATTAATAGCATGGCGCACAAACAAAAATAAAAATAAAAAGCAAAAGGAAAGCGAGTTAACCGCACAGAGGCGCCGCGACGATGTTATGTTATATTAGTCATAAGCACACGATTATATTACAATTACGCAACAACTCATGTAAACTAGCAGTTAAGGTCACCTCCCATCAAAAGAGGAGGGATGTCGCGAGCGCCATCAAGTAAGAACACACGGAATTCAAAACCCTGCGTGGTTCCCTTCCGTCAAAGGGGGAGGGATGTCGCGAGCGCCAAGAACGCAATCGCGCCCACCGCTGACGAAGCGAATTGCGGCAAGCGATACCTCCGACGATTATTATTTTGTTAAGCGATAGTGATCGCCAAACTGTAATATTAATCGCGTATTTACTTTTGTAATCGCTCCACGTGAAGCAATCGCTAACCAGGTTGCGCGGCTCTTACGCGGAAAGCCGCCGCGCGACCCAGAAATATTCCGCGAACGCTGACGAACCTTTCGATTACGCTGCAAAGACTGGCCGCCTGAAACGGGATAAAAACGGGAGACCGGTTCGAGAACGGGGACTCATTGAGATTTGTCTTGCCGTCACATCTGTCGCGGTTCAAATTAAGAAGGACAACCTGTGTCATTTTAATAAAATTTATTGACAAACAAATAAAGTGTTAAGTGCTTCCATCACGCCAACTTCCTGGTCGACCCCCGAAACAACCCGCACAACATTTCTCTTATATTATATATATATGTACGGGACTCATCCGAGGCCCCGTATTGGAATGAGTACACATTAAATTCTTTAATGTGGGCAAGTGCCAGCAGTTGCGGGAATTTTAGCTCCAATAGCGTATATTAAAGTTGTTGCGGTAAAAAGCTCGTAGTTGAATCTGTGTCGCACACCGTCGGTTCACCGCTCGCTGTGTTTAATTGGCGTGATGTGGAACGTCCTACCGGTGGGCTTAGCCTTGCGAGAGGCGACCCCTCTAATATATATATATATATATATTCACACAAAATTTTAACTTATTAATTAACTTATTAATTATTTTAATAATACAGACATAATGACAATTATATAATGCATCTGATATATTTCATAACCTCTGGAAAGCTAATCTTTCTTTACATATTATCAAGATTTAAGGTTAATTATTATGTATTATTGCAATATGTAAAATTCGGAAGAGTTAGGAGAACATGAATATCCCGCATACTGCAGTAGACATACGTAGACACACTACACATATTACTTGATATAAAATAAAAAATGTTATTAAACGCAATGATAAGAATAGTACATTGAATATTATCAATTTCAAAACGGTCAATCGGGACGGTGGTTAATCGGGACGGTGGTCAATCGGGACGGTAGTCAATCGGGACAGTGGTCAATCGGGACTGTCGTCCGTCCGTCGTAGTAATTACTTTAAACGGAAGCAATCACTAATAAACATGTTCTAGGAAATCATTAACACATTTATACATAAAATCAAGAAAATAGAAAATTTGCTTAATAATCATTACTTTAAAATGAATACAGAAGAGATCCAAGCAATCCAATGCGATTAGACCAACTTCTGTTGCCTTTAATAGAGCTTGATATCCTTTA